TTGGGGGGGGGGGGGGGAGGTGGTGTTAGGGTTCTTACTTCATGATGGGGATTTCAGCCAAGGGACAGACAGTGCCGATAAGAGAGGCAATGGCGAAGGAAAACCATGTTCTGTCCAGAGAGAACCAAAGCACTTCCGCTGCTGCAAAAAGAATGTATGCCTCCACGTTGTCTGCAACTCCCGCTTTGTACATTTCCGCGCTCAGCTCGATGAACACCACCAGTGCCCTGCGTGGTTACATTACATACATAATTTTACATACGTACAGACATTTATGTGTGTGTACGAGTATACCGACAAGAGTGAAATGACAGTTTTGTCCAAGCTGCCATCTGGGCGCTTCTCAGTTGAAGAAGCTCTTCCATCCAAGAAAAGTTGCAGCAGCCCAACACTGCAGTAAAAGAGTCCAAGCAAGAACGGGACCTGACATCACATTACCCAGAGAAAAAACAACATTAAACATATATATATATATATATATAAAGAACACTTACAAAGCAAATAGATTGAATATTAATTTACCCAAACGTTGGTACGAAGAGGGCCAATCTGAAGAGCTCCATTTTGATAGACAACAAGATTAACCCGGGAATGGAGACCATCAAGGAGGGGACCCAAGACGAAGCCTGTTCCGAATAACCGGAGACTAACCGGGTGCCATGATTTTTCAATACCGGTTTTGCCCCGCTTCCGGCTCCCGTTACTCAGGCAGCCGACTGGCCTAGCCGGTGACCGGTTTGACCATCTGGGTTGACGATGTGGTCTGTGATGGATGTTTAGAGAATATGGTGCTGCAAGGGTTTGCATATTTTTTTCAGAATATCCGAATATCCAAACATATTGAACTCCCGTTGAAAGTCTTTACAAAGATTTTTTCTTGTTGTTGAATTTCGTCCACAAAAAGGGCTTACAAGTTACAGGACTTTTTTTTTCTTTTTTGGTCCTATGTTTTACACGATTTCTGTGTTTCATATTAGTTTATGCTTTAGTTTTAAAATTATATTCTTTTATATAATTTAGGAGACCTGCCAGACAAAAAAATCCGTAATTTAATTTTGATTTAAAGAAAACAAATAAGTAATATTGAATTGGTGAAAGATACAAAAATAAGCATTAATTTTAAAACCTCAACAAGTAGTCTACATGAAACGTTTTAGTTAAAATGATGATGTAATGACTAAGAATTTAAATGTCAAAATATATAAATCAATGTATCACATATTTGGGGTACATGTTTATGTATTATTTGAATAATTACATCACTTAAATAAAAATACACAATATATCATCATTATTAGTCGACAATAATGATAATAAAAAATTGCATCTCATTAACAAAGTAATTATATTGGATATGATATAATATTGATTATACTCATCGCTATTCTCGATTGAGATAAAGTGAATATATACAATATTTATAAACGTATTAGCATCTTTTTCCTACACCAAACTTATTTATAAATTCAAAACTTATCTAATGATGATTTTTATTGCTTTTTTTTTTTTCTATTATATATATATTCTTTATGGATTAGGTATTATTTTGCATTTGGACAATTATTATTCAACATGCACACACACGCATTAATGACGTCCATGAGATTAAAGCGAAGACGTTACGTAATCTCATAGCTCCCGAAATAAATATTTCGCCTACCCAAATAAAACCTATCAGCATTTAGATGGACGCAAACTGTCACAGTCACGACCTTCAACAAATCTGACTTTCTTTTTGTTAATATTTCATCAATTCCCCGTTATTTTATACGTCCCATAACGAATATGTTATTATTATGAATCGCATAATTCATCTACAAAATCATTAGAAATTAAAGCATAAAACAATTTTATGTTGACTTATCTATCTATCTATCTATCTATCTTATTTAAAAATATCGAAACAAAAGGGAAAAAAAAATCTGGGCCAAGAAAAATATATTTATTGCTAACAAAGAAAGGGATAAAGACAGGCGATATGTATCATTGAGACCTAATTTATGAAACATCCGACATCGCTTACCAACTGTCCACCATTAATATTCGTTGATGTGTAGCTTTCCTGACAATGATTAAGAAATTATTTTCTCTTACCAAAAATAAATAAATATATATAATTTATGGTTTTTATGCACGGAAATTGAAAATAATAAAAGAAAATAAACATAGAAACTAAAAAAGTCGCCCAACTTGACGAGATGACGACCTGGTCAGTCACTCCTATTCTGGTTGGATTTTTTGTAATCATTACTAAAATGGGTAAAATTTATTTCGTGCATATTTATTTATATGTGACCATTAATTGTTATCTCTACTAAATTCGGATAAATATGTCTCAATCTTATCTACACACGTGAATAGAATATATTATATGATCCGTTTAGATATATATTTGAACAATCTACATATTCACATCCAATGTTACGTCCCCTTTTTCTTTTTTATCACACAGTTGTCTTGTTTCACGTAAAATATAGACATAAAATTAGCAATTCATATTTATTATTTACGGTTTGGATAACATTTAATATGATGGATCTCTAATTTTGAAATTAATTACGATTTACATACGTATTTCTTTATCCAAAAATAATATTGCTATTTTTAAAACCGCCAATACGGGCCCCCCCCCCCCAATTTA